GCTCGGCCCGAAACGCCTGCTTGCACGGCTCCAAGATCCGCATTCAACCCAGGAGCGCGCGGCTCCCCACGCTGCAGAGCCTCGGTTTTCCCACTTGGAACGGGGACGGTTTGTACCGTAGGATGTGGCCGCTTGAACTCACGGTATCGGGCGCCAGGGACAGGCTGGTCTCTCATTCCACAAGTGTGGTCCCCCCACTTCCCTATAAGCAAGATTCCTTCCGTCCTGTTTTGCAGATGAGGAGCCTGAGGCACAGTTCGGAGGGCCACTCGGCTGGAGCCTCCTGGGATCACAGAAGTGACATTCAGGCCAGGGGGTTAGGCTAAGAAATAGTTGGGTGGTGCTGGAAGGTTCTCTGCGGGCTTCTATGTTGCTAAGGAGGCTGATGTGGCCCGGGGACCTCAGCCTCTCCTCCCTCTATCTGCCCACGCTCACCCCAGGGGCTCTGCATTTGCTGTTCCCTCTGCCTGGGACATGCCCAGCAGTTACCACAAACCTAGCCTCTTCCTCTCCTTCGGGGCTCCGTTGGAATGTCACCTCTTCCTAGAAGCCCTCTCTGGCTGTCACCTCCTCCTAGGGGCCCTTCTAACGGGCTGAACTCTCCACCACCCAGGACAGTGGTCGGCAAACTCATTAGTCAACAGAGCCAAATAACAGTACAACGATTGAAATTTCTTTTGAGAGCCAAATTTTTTTAACTTAAACTATATAGGTAGGTACATTGTTATTAACTTAATTAGGGTACTCCTAAGGCTTAGGAAGAGCCACACTCAAGGGGCCAAAGAGCCGCATGTGGCTCACGAGCCGCAGTTTGCTGACCACTGACCCAGGAGATCCATCTCATTTCCTTATTTCACTGAAAGAAATCATTCCTTGATAGGTGCAGCTTTCCTGGTGTAATTTCCCATTTCCTATGACATAAGGGTTAGAACTTAGATGCCAAGAGGGTGTCTCTATTACATCCGTGTCCCTGCACTCAGTACAAGCCTAGCACACAGTCGATCTCCCACCAACCTTCATCAGAGGTCAGAATTCCTCCAAAAACAGCCAGAAAAATAAAGCTGTTTCTGGCCACACCCTCAGAATCAGGGCTGCACATTAGACACGGGTCACCGACGTCTCATTCCAAGCAGCTTGGCCCCGATTAGCCAGGCTGCTGCTGAAGTTCCAGCTGCCTCTGGCCCAGGCCTCAGACTACCCGGGGCAGAGGTCTTTGGACTACCCAGAGCCCTGTTTGCAAGCTCAGACTGGAGGTCACATTCTCAGTGACTATTTGGGTCTCTGGCAGCTTCAGGTAGAATTCAGAGCAGGTCTCGTCTGACCAGGGGAGTGAGACCCAAACCAAGTGGGAGAAGAGAACAGAATGAAAATCTCACCCAGAATCAGGTTTTATAGTTTAAACCATGTTGAAAATGTCTGGTAGAAAGTGCACATGCTGCTAGAAGCCTAGGATGTGAAGAGAGGGAAGTCACAGTGGGTTTCATTTCCCCCATCAAAGGGAGGAAACTGAAACACCCAGAATCAGCCCTGATGGGGGGAAACTGCGTCCCATGCTGTTGCCAAAAGTGATTGGGGTAAAGGCTCAGGTTCACTGGCACCTGAACCACCCGTGGATCCTCTTCAAGTGTATAACTGGAATTCTCTTTTTAAATCTCCCCAAATCTTAGAGGGAGGGACTGGTCTTACACCATTTTGCAAGTGAGAAAACTGAGGCCCAGAGCAGCTAAGCCACTTGTCCCCGATCACATATGGGAGGGGTTGGGATTTGGATTAAGAGCATATGGGCATATCCTTAGGGGAGGACAAGCAGACACACACACACACACACACACACACACACACACACACACAATCGTGGCTGGAGCTGCCAAGATGTGTGCTCAAGGATGGGCTTTGCAAAGGTGTAATCACTAATGCAATGCCCATGTGAGTTAGGCACAGAGAGGAGGATGGAGAACTCGAAAGAAAAAAAGAAAGAGAAAGAAAGAAAGAAAGAAAGAAAGAAGGAAGGAAGGAAGGAAGGAAGGAAGGAAGGAAGGAAGGAAGGAAGGAAAAGAAAACAAAGAAAAGAAAGAGAAAAGATAGTTACATTGGAAAGCCAAGAGCAACAAAATGGTACAGCTGCAGTGAAAGAATGCTTGCCAGCCGAAGGAAGGAAGGAAGGAAGGAAGGAAGGAAGGAAGGAAAAGAAAAGAAAGAAAAGAAAGAGAAAAGATAGTTACATTGGAAAGCCAAGAGCAACAAAATGGTACAGCTGCAGTGAAAGAATGTTTGCCAGCCCTGGCCAGTGCGGCTCAGTTGGTTGAGTGTCCTTCCGTGTACCAAAGGGTCGCTGCTTCCGTTTCCCGTCAGGGCACATACCGAGGTTTCTGGTTCGATCCCTTGGCAGGGCATGTGCCAGAGGCAACTGATGGATGTTTCTCTCTCACATCCATGTTTTCCTCTCTCTCTCCCTCTCCCTACCTCTCCTTCTAAAATCAATTTTTAAAAAAAGTTTGGCAGTTCCTCAAGAAGTTAAACATAGTTACCACAGAGCCTAGCAATCCAATGCCTAGGTATAAACCCCAAACAATGGAAAGTATTAGGTGTTGAAATAGTTGTAATGAATGTTCACGACAATGCTATTCACAATAGCCAAACCATCAACATAAAATGTCCATCAAGGGATGAATGGATACACAAAATGTGGTTTACCCAGGCTGCTGTCAGTATACCATGGAACATTACTCAGCCATAAACATGAACAAAGTTCTGACATATGCATGGATGAACCTTGAAAACACCGTGCCAAGTTAAGGAAGCCAGTCACACAAGGCCACAGGGTGTATGATTCCATCTATATGCAATGTCCTCGACCGCGAGTCCATAGAGACAGAAAGTAGATTAGTGGATGCCAGGGGTAGGGAAAGGGGTATGGGAGTGACTACTAATGGGGACAGGGTTTCCTTTTGAGTTGATGCAATGTTCTGGGACTAGATAGAGGGGATGGTTTGCAGCATGGTGATTATATTTAATGCTACTGAACTGTACACTTTAAAATGGTTTAAGTGGTGTTTTATCTTATGTATACTTTATCACAATTTTTAAAACGCCAATGTGGCCCTAACCGGTTTGGCTCAGTGGATAGAGTGTTGGCCTGTGGACTGAAGGGTCCCAGGTTCGATTTCGATCAAGGGCATGTACCTTGGTTGCAGGCACATCCCCAGTAGGGGGTGTGCAGGAGGCAGCTGATCAATGTTTCTAACTCTCTATCCCTCTCCCTTCCTCTCTGTAAAAAAATCAATAAAATATATTTTTAAAAAGCCAATGTGGAAGCATTTATGAATGAGAAACAAATGCAAGAGAAAGACAGAGACACACAAATGTAATTGCAAAGGCAGCAAAAATCTCAGGAAGGAGGAATAAGAAATTGATAACACTGGGTCCTTTGGGGAGGGAACCAGAATGTGGGAAGGGAGGTGAAAATGGGGGTGGAGGGGAGATACCGCCAACATTTCTTGCACCATGTACACATATCAATTACCCAGAAATAAATACAATACACACTTTCTTTTTTTTTAAACCACCACTAGAGGTTTAAAAATTGTGGTAAAATACACATAACATAAAATGTACAACTTTTAACTATACAGTTCAGTGGTATTAAATATACTTACATTGTTGTGCAACCAATCTATACAACTTTTTTCTCTCATAAAGGTAAAGCTCTGTTCCCACTAAACACTAACTCCCTAGCCCCCTCCCTCAGCCCCCGGCACCCAGACTTCTACGTTCTGTGTCTATGAATCTGACTATTGTAGGTATCTCATATAAGTATCCTATATAATTTATCCTTTTGTGACTGACTTATTTCACTTAGCATAATGTCCTCAAGGTTCATCCATATTGAGGCAGGTGTCAGAATATCCTCCCTTTTTAAGGCTGCGTAATATTCCATCGTATGGATGGACTACGTTTGCTTCTCCATCTATCCATCAGTGGACACTTAGGCAGCTTCCATGTTTTGGCTATTGTGAATAATGCTGCTATGAACATGGTTGTGTAAGTGTCTCTCATAGACCCTGTTTCCAATTCTTTTAGTCACTCAACTATATTATGACTTTGTTTTTTTCAAAACAGTGTAAGACTGATCACAAAGATGAAAAAAAGTAGGACAGTTTCCATAAACCCTCTACTCAGCTTCCCCCAGTGAAATAGTTTATCTTACTAAACCATTGTCGACACCGGGAAATTGATACAATGTAATGGACTCGGGTTCCGGTGTATGATCCCATCTATATGCAATGTCCTCGACAGCGAGTCCATAGAGACAGAAAGTAGATTAGTAGATGCCAGGGGTAGGGGAAGGGGTATGGGAGTGACTACTAATGGGGACAGGGTTTCCCCAGAGTTGTAAAATACTTATTCCCCAGAGTTGTAAAAAAACATTTCATTTGTAAAGAACTGTTTCTTTTCAAATTTTAATAAGTTTTCTTAGGGAGAAAATGGAGGGCAGCAAGTATGGTGGTTAGAGCTGGCTTTGGTTCAAATTCTGCCTGACTCCTTTTGTGGCCTGTACCCTCAGATGAATTATTTTCCCATTTCAAGCCTCAGTTTCCTCAACTGTAAAATGGGGATTAAAGACTACTGCAGGCATTTTAATTCTGTACGGCTAGGTTTCTCTCTCTGTTTCTTCTTCTCAGCAATCCCTTACAACAACCCCTTTAGCATTTCTTGTAATGCTGGCTTTGGTGGTGATGAACTCCTTTAACCATTTTTTTTTTTTTGTCTGAGAAGCTCTTTATTGACCATCCATTTTGAATGATAGCCTTGCTGGATATAGTAATCTTGGTCTCAGATCCT